CCTTGTGTTTCTATTATTAGCATCACTTGAACTTTTCAAAAAACTAGATGGATGGTTGTGACTAGGCTTCACATTTAATGTAGATCTAGAATATATACCAAATAAAATTCTTGTCATGATTCATCTTCCCGTTTTGCTCTATTCTATATGAGATCTTATATAATTTAATTTTCATCTCTTGTCATGATTCATTTTCCCATCTTACTTCCTTCTATGTGAGATCTTATATAATATAATTTTCATCTTACTCCCGTTAACATATCCATTATGTTCATCTTAAGGATTGAAAATTGTTGATCATCGTCAAACCAAATCATGTGCAAATCCAACTACATGTGTGGGGCATTTTGGAAAACATGTTCCACCAATATGGCGGCAAGCCAAATATCTAATGTCGAAGATGAGCAGGATGAGGAAGAACATCTCACACCTGTTTGGACATTTCGCGTGATATTTCTCGGTGGAATATCATTCTTGTTCTTATTAATTCTCAACAAATATTTTCTCAATGAAATAGCCCAATTTCTCATGGGTATGGCATCAATGCTTGTGCTACTCTATCCCCTAGGTTACCTAATGTCAAAAGTAATGCCAAAAAGGACAATTTATTATTCCATGCTTGGATTAGAATTTTCAATGAATTGTGGTGCCTTTGGCATCAAAGAATATGCAATGATCTCTATAATTGCCAATACAGGTGCAATTGCCGGTGGACTGACTTCCAATTACATTGATTGGTTCAATGATTAAATGGTTTTCATTATTTTGACTCTTGCGTTTATTGAAAAAATTTGAGTCACTTTCATTGTTTTATTCCAGTCGTGATTGATATATTCCAAGTTACTTTTCATTTATTCTAGTGATCATAAATGTATCTTATGTCCACGTGGTCTAAATAACTTCTTAGGTTGAGTCCAATTACTTTGCTAAGTAATTTTATACTTATAAATTGTAGATTTTTTTATTCTTAGATGTATTATGTTTACCATCTCAATTTATGTGAATAAATAAATAAGTTTGAATAGTAAATCCATTGATTATCTATGTTTTTCACCGTTATTTACTTTATGAAAGTTATAAGAATATTGAAAAAAAATATTATGTTGTTAATCTTCTTCATAATATATGTATACGCACATGTTAAAACGGGTTGGCCCATAGCCCGCCAAAATCGGTCGTTTGGCGCGCCGGGGCAGACCGGGTGTAAAAAGGTAGCCCGACACAAACCCTCCATGGGCCACGGACTGGCCCGTTCAAGATTAATAAAAATCAAAATGAAAAGTAAACAGAAATGAGAAAATCAGGCCTAGACATGTAGGAAAAAAAATCTAAACAAAACATGAGAACCATGTCTTTTATTTAATAAAACTCTGCATCTTCATCTCATCTCCATTCAATTTTCATTTCTTTTATTATATTATTTAATAATTCTAAACCACACTTCTCTGAGTTATAGAGATTTTGGTGCGTGTGTTTGTTGTATTTAATATTTTTTCAAAAGGCGGGCCAACCACGTCCCGCTTGGCCCGCTCCGCCAAAGCCCAGCGGGCCTGGAACTCATGAAACGCGTGAGAGTTTATAGACCATTATATACAAATAATTATATACACAAAATTGTTTGGGCATTTGAATCAAACTATTAGAAGTCACATGTTATTTCACTCTCAATTCCACAAAATTACAATTTTCGAACCACTATCAAATTTAATCAAACTATTCAAGAATGTAGTATTATATATAACGGCATTCCAGATCACAATCATTTTGAAATTTGTAGATGTGTCAACGACTTGTTTTCTTAACAAAACGATACATGAATTTTTTATTCTTTAAAAACTGAAACACGCGGTTGGGACTCAAATGGTCGGAAAGTGACTTGGTCGGTTGTTTCGTCCTTGTAACATCTACGTGGGTAATAGAAAAAATAAAAATAAAAAACACCTTGCAACATCACATCGACTTTTTTTTTTCAGCAAAATGATATGCGATTCATTTCTTTTTAAATTAATTGGCAATATAAAATCTCTTCCCCCACATCAAATAATGCACATGAAACAAAAAACAAACATAAATCAAGAACACAAAAAATCGAGAACCTATTAGTAAATTTAAAAAATCTTTAGACATCACGATGAGAAAAATCTACATGATATAATCCTTCACATGTATAATCTTCTAACAAAATCTACATGATTTAATCCTCCACCAATATAATTATTTTGATATTAGTATAATTCTCTCACATTTTATGTGAATTTCGCTTAGCTTAAAGAAAGTCTCACCATATTAACCGTGAAATTAATACACACTCATATCTATATATATTCATCATTTAATATAGTCGAATCACCATATACTTGTGTATGTGAATCGTGTTGTCGATTATTAATAAAATTTATATTATATGGGTCACTGTCCCGCGATCGAATCTACGTAGATTTTCCTACGAATGACTCAACTCGAGAGCAACATCAAACATAATTTAGCCTTTGATTTTTATTTTTGTTTAAGGTTGGGAAGCCTTTTCTCTGTCTTTACGTTACCTTCTGAGCGTGACTGTGTGTGGTCACAGTCACTGTATACTAATTCAATTCCCCTTTTCCTTCTAATTTATGTATATGCCATACGAGAAATGGGATATTCCGCTCGCTTTCCAGTTTTCGGGATCCACAAAGATTGAGTTTTTATGTATTCTTCGTTCACACTCAACTTAGATAAGGCAAAGGCAGCAACTTCTCCTGCGTTGTTCTTACCCAACAATTGGGGGTTCTTCATCATCATCTCTCTGGTGCTTTCCGCTGTTCTGATTTTCTGTTTTTGAAACCCATTTTTTTTCTGCTTTCTTTAAATTTGGTTATGTTTGTGTAAAGTTTGTGCTATACCCTTCTATAATACGGATAATAGAGATGCTCCTAGTTTGTAAGCGTTTTGGGGTATAGATTTAACACATGAGCGGATTTGTTTAGACACACATTAGGATCAGCTGGTGTGATCCATCTGATACTTGCACATATAAGACGTTTCATTGTAAATCATGTGAAGATATGGGCATAATGTATTAATGTCATGTGTGTGACTTCATCGTGTCTTGCGGAAATATTTATTTACCAATACTTTCAACTTACATACTTGAAAAACTGGCCAAATGAATCAAACAAGTAGTGCACAATGACATTAGATCATTGTACATTGTGTTCAGCAATGTGCGAAGCAGAAATTTTTAGAACGTTAACTTTTAAGCTCTGGCTCCGATTATTCTGGTGAAGACTTATATCATTTCCTCAAATCCTTATGACTTGCGCTCAGTAATCTGTAAATGTGGACTATCAAATAGGATTTTAATAATGTGTCACTGAGAGATTACTCACTTCATTTGGGTTATTCTCGCTTCTCACAATTGATTTAGTTTCCAAATCTAATATAGAGGCAATCTGCTTGTTTGTGGAGGTAAAAATGTATTTTGTGTTGGCTTGTTGATTACAATATTTGAGAATGTAAGAGACTACAAAGCGTGGTTAGTCACACAAGCCACTAATCTGTGTCCAGTTTTTAGCAATTTAAATTTATTGGAAGTGCGTTTCATATATGTGTAATTTGTGCCACCTCGCCTTTTAATCTTGTTGTCGTATTTTCTGTACTTTAACTTGGATTTTCATTATTTCAAATCTCAAATTTGGACATGCCGTTTGCTTTTCTCAGTGATTTCATCCACTAATGCGGGCTGTAGTTAGTTGTAGATATCTATCACGAATTAGTTGCTCTTTCATCTTTTGTCCTCGCTTCATTAATGCGGTCTTTCATTCCTTCGTCAAATGTGTCAATGGCTATTTATTGCTGTCTAGTTGTCCATATGGCGGTACAGTCTCCTTTTGCTTGAAATAACTGGCAACTTGGAGTTACTTTGCCAACGAGTCTTTGATTTAACCTTTGAACTTTGAATGGGCAGTTCCATTGTGATGCTTAGCAGCTTTGACTTCTCATATGTTCACTGTTTTTAATAATATTCATGCTCTCAGTTGCTTGTTCCAAGTTGTTGGAAAAATAAAAATTGTTCATCCATTAATCCAGTGAGGGTCTAATCAAACAATAAATTTTTTCCATGTCAAGAACTTGTCTATGGCGTCTCTTAAATACACAGGCATCGTCCTTTTTAACTCTTCTCCTTTTTATTTTTTTTAAACTTCTCAAAAGTTTCTCTGGATTTTGCTACATTGTCCCAAAAACTCTGCCTGTTATAACTAGTTTGACCTCTTCTCTGCTTGTTTTGTGCCAACAAGCTTATGTAAAACATAGTTTTCTGGTAACAAAACCTGGAAGTTAATTTGGCCTTACTTCTGTCTCATATATTTATTCTCCCAGTAAAGTAAATTAATAACAGAGGCAAAAAGAAATCGGTAGAATACTAGAATGCAAATTTGCATCTGCATGCATGTTGAATTGTTTAATCTAGGTTTTTATTCTTCTAAGTGTTGCAGACATGGATACTGCATCTGGTCAAGGCTTGTACCCCCTGCACCGTTGCAAAACTATTCACTTGGTTAGTATTTTCTTCCTTTGTATTGCTCCTGTAAAATTCAGCATCCATTCTGGACTTGAATTTGCAAGGTATCTAATATGGGTTCACTTCATATTGTTTGTATTTAGGTGAGACATGCTCAGGGATTTCACAATGTAGCTGGAGAGAAGGATCACAGTGCATACTTGTCTCCAGAATATTTCGATGCACAACTTACTCCTCTTGGCTGGCAGCAAGTACATATAATTTTCCTGTGTGTTCTGTGGCATTTGAATTTGGATTGCAATTGCTTTCATCATCTCTGGCATAAATTGCAATTGTAATTATAAAAACAATGAAGTCTCAGTATTTTCTGAAGCATGTATTATATTGTTAAAGCTAAGGAGCCATCTCAAGAGTATATTATGCTCTTTCCTGGAATTTTTTCAATTGATAACTGCTGAACAAAGTACACTATCTTCTTATGAAATGAAAATTAAGAAGAATGACTTTCACCGTGTAACAGGTGGGTAATCTGCGCAAACATGTTCATTCATTGGGTCTTTCTAAGAGGATTGAATTAGTTGTTGTTTCCCCTTTATTAAGGTATGTTGGACTTTCTGATTTTTGTGTGGTCTTTTACTGATTTTGTAATTTCCCTTTTTTTCCCCTCTCAAAACTGGTTTCTTAGAAATTATTATTTATTGCACAGACTGGAAAGATTAATGGTCTGTTTTCAAAATATGTGTCTAGTTTTATTTTATCTATTTATTTTTTATATTGCATGATATAACCAAGTAAATCAGAATATCAAAATAGAAGAGGAACTTTTATATGAAAAGATTATACCGTCTCTCAATCATTGATTTCTTTCTGGAAAACCCTTAAAGGAACCAACCTCAAACATGAAATGTGTACTAAGACATGTCATCTGGAGAAGGCGGGGTGGAGTTGGGTCAATTTGAGTTGAACACTGTAGTTTGCTTTCCAGTTTCTTGAAATAATCACTAAAGAAGGAATGCTTTGTATTTTCCTAGTATGATAGGTGTGAGATGGACAATTAACAGACCCTTGAGATTCATACATTATTTCCTGTCTATTACCATGAGCACAAATAACATTGCAGGACTATGCAAACAGCTATTGGGGTATTTGGCGGAGAAGCTTATGTGGATGGAATTGATGCACCTCTATTAATGACAGAAAATGCTGGGGACTGCAACAGTCATGCGATTTCCAGTTTAAACTCCCCACCGTTTATAGCAGTGGAACTTTGTCGAGAACGTTTGGTATGAAATGGCTAAATTACAGCATGTTGCACATATATTTAATAATACTGTAGCCTTTTGTCCTTCATATTTTTATGACTTGTGATGTTGATGTTGCATTCCTGGTCGGTAAAATTGTTCTCATATGCGTTTATTGTTTCACCTGTTTACCGTTTCTCATTTTAGCTTGTTACATATTACTACCTCAATATCTCTTGAAACATTAGATGAAATTGGAGTAATATAGTGTAGATCCTGTTACAGTGCTCTCACTACTGTTTAAGTGCTGGTACTTTGGAAAAAGTTTTGTTTTACGAAATTACTTATATTGAGAAGTCTTGAGAAAAGGAAACAGGAGCTATAGAATTATGATAAAGTGTCCGTAGAGCTCTTATTTCTTAGTTCGTTCTTCGATTGTTGAAATATTCTTTTGAAGAAAAACTAGATCCATTCCTTCCTTTAGCCTCTAATTTCTGTTTTCAGCATCACTCCTCTTCAATACTTCGATATAACCTTGTTTCGAACTTTTCATGATTGTACTTTACATTCATCTTAATGTGAACGGTGAAAATCTCTTTCTTCTGTCAAAAAAAGTGTTGGGGTAAAGACCTTCACAAACCATGAGATTAGTTTGTTTTCAGAATTTCAATTCAGTGTTTTTTACCTTTTCCCATACTTGTTAATTGGGCTTGGGGATTTCCAGGTTAAGACCTGAATGATGAGTTTTAATTAAAAAAAGAAAAGCTAAAGAGTTATTTATTCAGTTCTTGATGAGAAATCTAATGCAGGGGCTTAACTGGTGTGATAAGAGAAGGAGCACAAGTGAATACAAGTTGCTTTTTCCCGCCATTGATTTTTCACTGGCAAGTACATGTTCCTTCTTGCGTTTCTTCCTTAGAAAGGAATAAGAATATACTGACAGACATATTATGTTCTTGCAAATATGGTAAAGCAAAATATGTAATCTGTCATCTCACTTATTATTTATACCTTTTGCTTCTGATGTTCAGATAGAAACCGATGCTGATACTCTCTGGAAAAGTGATGTCAGGGAGGCAGATAAAGACCTTGCTCAGAGGGGCCTGAGATTTTTGAATTGGTGAGCATTTTTCCCAGTTAGTTCACCTGAATCAAGTTTCTTAAAGTTTTCAATGAATCAGAACTAAATATTTACCCATTTTTTTTTTTTTAATTTTCTGACACGGTGCAGGTTGTGGACACGTGAGGAGACTGAGATAGCAGTTGTTACTCACAGTGCATTCTTAATTCATACCCTTGCTGCATTTGGAGATGATTGTCATCCATTTGTGAAAAGTGAAATTTGCAGACAGTAAGTTTTTCAGTCATTTCTAAGCTATGTATCTATTATCTATCACTGTTATATCGTGGACCAGGGTCTACCTTGCAAGATGTACTTTTATCGAGGTAGACATCATATTAAAGAGAAATATACATCTGAATAATGATAAATATATATAATTATGTAAGTTCATTGTGTTAATAGTACTGTGTACTTTGCATAAATGAACTCATATGATGATGTATGTTTATCTCATATTGATGTGTATTTATTCTTTAATTTGATTTGAACGTATACCATCAATAAAGGTCCATCTTGCAGGCCACAAATATAATTTCTAAGTACTATTACCACATTGAGGCCCAGACAAGCTCTTCCAACACTAATTACTTGAGCTTCCGAAATAACGTACTCATGTCCTGTGATTTGAATTGTTTCTTTTGGTTAAACAAGTTTGTTCACGATTTTTTTTTTTTTTTTTAATGAAACAAGGTAACAGGAACATTTATCCTTTTTAAGATAGACTGGAAATGAAGTCTGAGGGATTATGCATCTGTATTTGCATGTTATCACAGTTTCTGTATCCATAAAATTTGAAACTTATGAATATGAATCGACCCACAAGAAAGAGAAGTAAATTTAAATTTGCAAGTTTGTTTTGCAGCTTCAACAATTGCGAACTTCGATCAGTGGTCATAGTTGATAGAAGGTACAATGCGCAAACCAGCAATTGAACTGTAGAATTGATTGATTTCTCATTCTAAACATTCTCACCTTGTGTTTTAATTTTTCAGTTTGATGTCTTCAAATTCTTCGAAAACTGATTATCCAGGAAAGACTCCTCGTGGGGCCGATGCTCCTAGTGACTCTGCGAAACATTAATGATTTCATCGTTGCTTATATGATCAATTCTGGGTTCTGGAGGAAGATTAATAAAAAATCCCCAGAACTTGGTGAAATGATTTGGTAAGGTAGTTTCAGTCCTCTTTCAATCAGGCTAAAGTATGTCTTGGTGAAGCTGGTTAGGCTACAAAAAGTTGTGCAAGATACTTACCGTTTTAGCAGAAAATAATTTTTGTTTCTCGTATCAGGACAAATTTGGTGCAGGGTGTTGTGCTCCTTTGTTTTTTGTTTTCAGAGATTTTTAAGTTGTACTTTGAGAGATTTAAGTACGTGCCCCTTGACATTTATCTACTAGCAACCTAACTTTTGAAGCATAAAGGCAAAGGTTTCTAAAATTGATAAACATGACTTAATGAGCATTAGATGAAGTTTGAGTTTAAGATGAAAATTGTATATTTGGAGATATTAAATAGTATTAATTAGCTAAAACCTTATATGTCAATATTAGTGGAGATTACTAAATACTAATTGTTAATATACTAAAATTAGTAGCATTACGACAACATGTTGAGGAATGGCATATTGAGGAATCTTTCAGTTTACTACATACTAATTACTAATATACTAATTTGGGAATCTTCTAGATGGACCAAGGGATTACATGCATTGAAGATAATCTAAATATTAGTATAGTATAAGAAATATCAAGACAATTGTAGAATTGTCTAAGGGATTACATGCATTGAAGATAATCTAAATATTAGTATAGTATAAGAAATATGAAGACAATTGTAGAATTGTTTAAATGGTTGAGTGGTCACCATATACTATAAATATGTCATTTGTGTAGCATTTTGAGTGTGCATGTTTTAGAGAAAAATTATTAGTGTATTTGATGGATATTAAATGTATTAATAAAAATAGTTAGATATTTTAGTTTAATAAGTTAAGTGAGCGAATGTCCAATTCGGGTCATCATTAAACTTCACTATTGGGGTCATCATTAAACTTCACTAGATCGAATGAAGGCAGCCACGTAGCCACGTGACTATCAACTTTAGCTTAGAAAATAAAATTAGAAAATAAAATTATATACGAATCCTACTACACTAACTCAATAAATTAGTCATATAATGTACTACCAGAACGAACTCAATAAATAAATAGTTATATAATGTACTACCAGAAACCTACCAGAAACGAACTTATATAATGTACTACCAGAAACAATTTTCCATGCTTTTTATTGTGAGCCTTCATGCCGAAGGCAATAAATAGTTATATAATGTACTACCAGAAACAATTTTCGATGCTTTTTAGTGTGAGCCTTTCATGCTTTGGTATGATGCGGTCATATAATGTACTCGAAGATGTGCTTCCGCTGCTCCACTTTGTCATTTTCGTTTGTAGAATTAAAATTGAAGATATTGGTTGTTCGAAGGTCAACTAACAAGAAAACAAAGACTGTCGGAAAGACAATTAAGATATAAAAAATTGCACAGTCCTTAAACTCTGAACCGACACCAGAAAGCATAACAATTTTACCAAAGCAGCTAATTTTAACAACATGAGCAGATGACATAATTCTGGAAAAAGCTAAATGAAAAATCAAAACCACATCAAATTAGAAGCCCACACAGCACTAACTTTTGGGGATTAATGGTTCCCAAACCAAGAAACATACATATAATCGTACCGTGGATTAATTCAAGAAAATAAAATTTACCTACGGCAGGCGGAGAACACAATTTGAATCAACAGCGGTAAGCCAAGTTTGAATCCAGAAAACCTACAAAAAAAAAAAAACAATAAGAACAATAAAATTCAGACGATTTTCGACGCTTTTTCTTGTGAGCCTCCATGCTGCTTTTGGTATGATGCGGTCCAAGACTAGAAGATGCGCCTCTCTAGTCCCGCACAGTGGATAGATAGACTTGTTCATTTTCGTCAGATACCCTGATCGAAGGTAAGATAGCAAAATGCCACTAACAGCCATGACAAAAAATTAGCAGAACCCGTTTTCATCATTGTCAAGAACACAAACTTAGACCCAGATACCCAAAGCAACAGAACATAATTCTGGAAAAAGCTGAAGTAAAAATAGAAGAGACTAAATACATGGCATAAAAGAAAAAAAAAAACAATAAATTTGGTTTTCTCAACAAAAAGCATAATTTACAAGGGCAAGAACTGATTTTATTCGTAATTCATATTTAGCCAAGAACTGTATGGACTAAAAACCTGAATTGAAAATAATAGTAAATACTAGCAACCTAACTTTTGAAGCATAAAGTCAAAGGTTTCTAAAATTGATAAACACGAGTTAATGAGCATTAGTTGAAGTTTGAATTTAAGATGAAAATTTTATATTTGTATTGCACCCGATACAGAATATTGTTGTGTATGAAGTGATTTGGAAATGGTAGATGTTGGGTATTATTTCAAAGAGGGAAAATATGTGTTCGTGAAAGGAAAACAGTAATAATATTGTGATAACCTTTAATATACAATTAGGTAACAATTAATACGCAGTATAACAGGAAAAATTGGCAGAAATAACATCAAAGTGGGTTTTTAACCATTTTCTACTTGAAACTCAGAACATCAATCTTACATAAGGGGTAATAGTTTCCAAAACTGAAAATTGTTTCGAACATCCTCTATATATTTCCTTTGATTTTCCTGCAAATGACTCAACTATTAAAGCAATATCAACCATTCTGTGGAACCAGCACTGGCAAAAGGACTTCCAACAACGCGACTAGCACCATAAGTTACTCTATCCCGAGAATGTGAAAGACTAGCCATACTAAGATAGCAAGACTCGGAACCAAAATAGATATCACTGTCTTCAAATCCATCGACTCCCAAGAGTTATCACTCCTAATTTCCTTACTCTTTGAAACTGAATTATCTGATATAGCTGTCGATGAGTAGTCAGTTGCAATAGCCCAAAAGGTTTTCTTGTTTGCTGAAACTTTCACAATAGGGGCTTCAGATTCAGGTTCCAAAATTTCCGAAGAATCTTCCGGAAATTCTGTGGACGTCAACTCAACACAATGATCTTGGAGAGCCTGAAAAAAAAAAAAAAAAAANGGAAAAAAAAAAAAAAAATGATTCGCCCCTTCCACAAAGATGGCCATGTATCCCAATTTCACAAGAGAAAAACATACTATAATATACTCCGTAAAATCAAACAATAGTGTGTCCCAAACCCCGTATTGAGTAACTACAAATTCAAGCATCAGTAGTATGTTAGTAATTATGTGATGGGTACAGCAGAAGCAAACCTCCATTGTCTCTGATGGCAGAATATAATCGCATATATATGTGCCTTCCAGCCATGGAACAAACACTCTTCGAGGGAATGATAGATTGCACTGTTTGCTGTACGAGGGTATTCATAACTTATGTTAGTTAAAAGAACAATAAAGTTGCCTCTGAGTACAGACCCCAGACAGAAACTATCACATAAAATTATAGGTGCTAAGACTCATGCATAATAACCATGAATTGACAGAATATTGAGAACTGATATAATGTAGCCACTAGCAAGCCTATTCACAAGGTAGAGTAACTGGTATGAATCATTTCATCCAGGTTTAACTTTTTACCAGCATTGAGCCCTGCATATGGGTTAACCAAATAACAAAACCAGATGTTTCCAGGAGACCAAAATAAAGATACATAGGGACCCATACCAAACCCTCTTGTAATCAGGATATTGTATCACATACACCATTCTAACCTAAAATGATGCTTTCCAAACAAAGATGAGTAGAAAACGTGACTAAATACAAATAATACTGTATCACATATATAAGAGCATGTTTGCTTATAAAATTTTCCCAAAAAAATTCAATCGAAACTCAAATATAACTCAACTTTAACTTAACACCCACTATTCTCAATATTATCAATATAATTTAATAATATCAATCAATCATCCTACAAATCAAATCAACTTTAATTTACTATTCATCAACTCACATAATTTTAACTACTTGTCACTTCAAATCACTTTTCTCATGCTTTTACATCAAATCAATTTTAATTAATTCATTTTTAAAGCTATTTTAATATAAATTCAAACTCTCACTCAAACCTAACACAACCAACTTTTTCAATATTAACTATAGTTAAGAAAAAAAACCAATCATCTATCGTTTTGAAAAAAAAAAAGAAAAAAAGAAAAAAACCAATCAAAACCAAAAAAACCTATAAACAAACATGCCCTTAACAGGTCTGTTTTTTATGGCAAAATATTGTGTAACCATGAGAGAGAGAGAGAGAGAGAGAGAATATTGTGTAACCATGAGAGAGAGAGAGAGAAAGAAATGGAAATATGAAAGTAATTGTTGATAATTATGCACAAACCTCATTAGTAATGCATGCCTTATGATACCTTTGTACAAGAAGATCAACGCGTGGATCAGGTTTGTCAACTGGTGTATGGATGTTTGGTTCCTGACCATCTTGCTTGACTGACTCCAAGTACCTCTCTGCCTCATCACACATGATCTCGAGTCTACTTTGCAAACTCCGAGTTATATCTTCCTAATCACAAGGAGACCAAGGGTGATACTATTGCACAGATTAGTCAATCAGAAAATTCACCTGATATAATAATTACATTTACGAGCTAAAAAATTTTAAATAACTCAACAGACGTACAAGTTTGACAAGCCTATAAAAACGAGCTGCTTTAAATCAGCCAAATTACATGTTAAAAAGCAGTAGGTACCATTATTATAGAGAGCAAATGATTCCTCCAAGAGTGAATGAATTGTTTGGTGTTAAAGTAATTTACAGTTAAAACAAACATGCCAAAGAGCTAAAGCAAGAGTTTTAGGAAAATCCGTGATATTTGACATTATTAACGCAAGTGGATGCACATATCCAATTCCAGAGTGAAGGTTTTTCAAAACTTTCCAATCATATAAGGAAGGAGGCTCAACTCATATTCTATCTGAAGTACCATTAGATGTATCACCTTTATATCAAGCAAAGCTTGTGAAACAGACTCCTTCGCATTCAAGTATGAAAGAGAACATACAGAGCCTTTAAAGTGAAGAACACCAAGAACCTCTTTCTTGTTACATGCTTCACACAAACAGAACAACTTAAGAAACGTGAAACAGAGCACAATTTATTTAGTAATTGATAAATTGAACTTAGAAGTTTTAGTTCAGACCTTCAATATACATCTCTTGCAACAAAGGCAGGAGAAACTCAACTTCATGAAAATCACCTGGTACACTGTGATCATCCTCAGCCACCTAGTAAATAAAGCAGCAAAGATTTTTTACCTATCCGTTTACTAAGCGATTCTTGAATCCAAATAGAAGTATCCAAGACAACTTTTTTTTTATCATACCAACATAAAGAAACAAGAACAGAAAAAGAAATAATAGCTCAAAGATTAAGAGATTGTGGCCTATCTGTAGTACTAATGAGCAATTTAGAAAGTGGAAATTTGTATAGGGGGAAGAAGAGACAGACTTTACACCCTTTTACAGAACTTATCTTCCCATCTTTTGAATTGCCCGTGGGATTAGATTTTAGGGAGTCTTTCTTTCTTTCTCAGATTGAAACTGACCATGTTTGTAGAAGTAGCTAAACCTTATGTGGTTGCTGTCAGAACCATAAAAAAGATAGACACATAGAAACACGGGAACAAGAATATTTCCTTTTTCAGGCCAGTGGCAAAAGGACAAGAAGTGTGACAGAACACTTGTGCACAAATTTCTCATATCGTATCAATGTTTTTTGATGTCATAGTACCTCAAAACACTTCTTAGAATTTTCTGTAGCGTAAGCAAAGTCTCTGGAAATGCTTGAAAGCGATGAACAAGCAGGAATTCCAAGCAAGACTGCTGATACTAATACTAACCTCCTTCACCCTAGACTAATATGTCTTTTTCCACCCAGCTTGTTCTCCATGAATGTTTTGTCAAAGGTGGTCCCGAAACATATGTTTACAGGATTACACCCCTAGGATGTTCTTTGATCTCTTGGAACATCCAATCTTATTTGCTAATTCTCTCATTTCAAATCCATTCAGATTAACACTGGAGAGTATGCTTACTTCTGTATTGACATTTCACGCCAGCAATACTGCAGAAAGCCCACCTTATTAACCACCTTAAGTAAGTTATCTCGTTGACAAAAACAGATGTCATCTCCAAATTTGAGGATAGATAATTCCAACAATTGGTACCAAAACCTTGGTTGTTGTATTCTTCTATGTATCTCTATAAATTTATTAAGGGTTATGCATTTGTTAATATAAGCAAACAAGATTATGCGCTTTTTTGTTGTCAATGAAAGTTTTTATGGTTGAATGATCTATGGCCCTATCTTGATTGTATAAATCATATTTCGTATTTTTTTAGTTGGTAAACAAACGGAACGTCTCTATAACTTGTCTTCATTAGATCTGAAATAGTATGCAACATTATTTGTATGTGTAAACTATTGCTGGACAGAGAAAATCAACCGTGCCTTAAAGACTCAAGGTCTGTGTGATACTACATACTAGGCAGATACAATCGGAGAAGAGAAAGACAATGGGCAGATTGTGGTGTGAGGTATCTCTCCCTAAGGTGTTTTGTTATGGTCAATCTTGGATCTGTCTCATTACTCTTTTGGAACAGTTTAGATGTATGCGCGTGTGTCGTGCCTTCTTCGGGCTGCCTAGTTTTCAAACTAAAGATGATTTCGGCCAATGATACTGCAGATCTGAGTGCAGCATATCGATAAATCGGTGATCATATCAACAAACATGAGTGCACCATAAGAACCTAGCAATTTGTGATTAATAATATAGGAATTCAAAGGATATGGGTGGATGTACCAATTTTCCATCGATCAAAGCTTTTGCTACTGTAAGTTCCTTGGCATGGACCATCATTTCATCACGAAGAACATCAGAGAATCTTCTAATATCCCCTCCAGCCTCGTGGGTTACAGGCAACCTGCCAGTGGAAACCAAAAATCAAACAACCCTATATTACAAACTTTGAATTTCAAATGAATATTTAGTAGGAAAAGTGGAAACATATTATACAGTTTCAGTTTATCAACCAATAAGACAAAACATAGTATTCTCATTCCCATTCTCTGTCAAACTCATACAGATTAAAAAATCATACAAGATCTTTTAGGGAAAAGAAAATGTGAAAGTAAAATCTTTATAAATATCAACCAAGTTTTATGAGGAGCCCACAAGTGGTCGTCCTGCAAAATCAAAGATCGGGCCTTTAAGGGTACGAGTTATTTTTCAATTTCTACATGGGGATATACATCAGAAGCTACTACCAAAACAGACTCCAATTATGAATGAACATGCGGTGACAACCACAATTTCACTTACAAACGCTTTCAAGAGTAAGGTTGTCCATGAGATTCTATTGAGATATTGTTTACAGTATTGACGTTATTCTTACTGTGTTTCCTTATTTAGTTGATTTTATTGCCTTCAGGCATATGATTATCCTAGCTTCATGCATAAAGATTGCACTTATTTGAATTTGTTTCTCGATCTCTCAAATAACCTATCTGAATCCGTCTGTTGGCGTATCCACATGCCACCTCCTCACATCCTAGTTTCCTTGTAAACCTTTTCACAATTTCTGGCCCCCACCTTTAGGGATATTTTGGACAGAAGAAAGGATCTTTAGAATGTCACCAGGGTATTGTTATTATATCATCATACAATATTACATACACCTGATTTTATTCCATTGCTCCCATGTCACAATTCACAACACAAGAGAAGTAATAGACCATCAGAAGGTGGTAGCATTCTAGATTAAATTGGAAACTATAAATTTGCTGCGAAAAATTATAATTTTCTTAATTGACTTGTAAATAACCCATCCCGCGTAGAACTTGGGCTTCAGATAATTCTGAAATGCCACATGAGTTTGGAAGTAGATTAATAAAATGGCATTTTAGAGAACCAACACCAGTATCGTTATATTAAGCACCACCATCACATCCCAATCACCATAATACACACTCCACGGCCCATTTTTACCCCAACTAAGTTGAAAGGTGCTTTTCTCCCTAGGAATTCCACATCAGCACTGTGGGTTCCATGTCAAATGATTTCACTAGATTCTCAGCTTTCAATGCGAGGAGGTGCACAAGACAACATCTGGTCAATGTATCGATTTTCAAATAAAATTGGAATTGGTTTGTAAGGGTTCACTGATCATGTCTTTTATTGTCAATTCAGATTCAAATTTAAGCAAAACTAATATTGCTACCTCTTATATGAGCATGGACCAGATTCGAAATTTCCCAAAGTACACTAATAGGAAACAGAAAGATTTCATACCAAAATTCAGCTTCCAACAAACATAATTTCATGCAACCTGATCTAGCAGAGGTAATATAGCAGGAAGAAAGACAAAAAGCAAAAATATAGATGTGATTTAGGCATTGAAACGGGAATCAAGCTCCCATTATTATAAGCATAGAGAGGACAGGGAGACGAAGAGATGGGAAGGGATGAACAGAAGATAAATGAGGTAACATTCCTCTCTGCAACAAGAAAAAAACAATTAACCAGAACCAAATAAAATGAGGATGTTCTGACTTCTTCGTCCAAGATGATTCCTTTGAGGAAGAAGTTGAATTACCAGAAAAGAAATAAAGACTTACTCAAAAACCAAGACCAGAGTGTTAGAAAAAGGTAAGAGTTAAGGAACAAGTGATTACCTTAAATCAAAGTTGTATGAGCATCTAAATGTTTGAAGAGAACCCAACACTTTTCCCATTCTAAAATCACAAGGCCGTAGAGTGCTCGATGTAATATTTGCTGCTAGCGAGCAACTTTTGCATGTCCACCTAAAACACAAGTTTAGCTACTTTAATATCTACTATTGTATTAAAAGTGCAGATACCCACATCAGGAAATATGTGCTCCTTTGAGCACCTTAGAGGGCTAGAACTGATATGAACAAGCAATCCACCACTGCAACCGGTCATCAATAAGGAGGCCGCTTCAGCAACTCCTTTTACAGTCTGTAATCAACATAAAATCTTGTACAGTTAGTATGCAGTAATGGCAATGGTAATCAAATGTCAAATGCCCAGATGTGTTCACAGCTTTTTATTTCAATTGTTCCCCCATTGTGTCGTAACCTAACCTGCTTAACTGCTTCCTGATCCAGTCATGTAACCACGAAGAACAGCTCACAGACCCCAACACCCTCAATAATAAAGGAAGGCTATAATTTTAAATATAAATTTTGTTTTTTGTTGAAAGCTAGCATAAAAAACGATAACAAACGCCGTCACCAATATAGTTGATAGTTCTTAATAAAAGGTCGTCCACATTTTGAACCTTCATGAGTTACAACGAGTATTAATCTTTACAAGCTTTCATGCTACTACTACATTTATATATGTACCTTGACATGATGAAAATTTATCATCATTGATTAATATCCACTATGAAAAGCATGATGGTCATCAGATATTAGAACTAGATGCTCCTTGGAATGAAAAGGGTTGTAAGAAGGTAAGAACACCTGGCATAGTGTTATAGTCGAGTTCTTGAACAAGCCTTCATTGACCCATATGTAGATACCAACCACCTTCACGCCACCCAATAGCATTCTTGAGACCTAAACCGTAACGTTTGCAGAACATGAACATTAGGAGAAGGAGAATCATCAACAGATGCAAGCCAAACATATTCATGTTAGCTTAATGAAGTATTAAGATATTCACGCCATGCAAGCAATGCTTAATAATTATGAAACCCAAAATAAGTAAATAAAAAATATAGCCTATAAATAGCTTCGCAGGCTAGTGAAAGTTAATTGAGCCAAATTCAGAAGAAACAAAGATGAAGTGGTATGCATGGTACT